GTACAGGTATGAAAATCCCCAGGAAAATAATAAAAAGAAAAACCACTCCAATATCTTTCCCAAGAAGTCTTGCCAATTCATAGAGAATAAAGAAAAGGAATCTGTGGAGAGCCATGACTGCCTATGTCCTGAAGGGAGAGGACATTAAAATGTTTACATTTGGAGATGTACAACTATGAACTGAAAACCATAGAAAAAACAAAAGGAAACCACTCGACTATCTTCCCCAGTAATAGGGCATTTCAAATGGTTATATTTGGAGAAGGACCACACTGAACTCATAACCTTGTGAAAACAGGAAACCTTTACAATGTCTTTTCAAAGAAGTCAATGATATGGTGTTTTTTAATATAAAGTTTAAAAATGTATGTCTCATATGCTATTTCAGAATATTAATAATAATGATTGTGTTAATAATAATAATAATAATAATAACCATGATTAGATTGGGCAATGGATCCACTGGAAGATATTTTAATAATAATATGAACCACTAGGCATTACAATGGAAATATAATAAATTATGGTACCGACCCAATATGTAGATTAATTTGAACAACATATTGAGACTATTGTGCACATAGTATCTGGCAGTTCAATCTTGACACTGAAGGAATACAAAGATTGATATGACTAGATTGACCAGTGTGTCCATTGGAAGATATCTTAATATTACAGAGTGTCACATGCAGAAAAATGGAATGAACATTACTCTGAATCATTCATTGAAAACGATGAAGCCAATATTTTGGGTACTTTACCATTAACACTGGCAGACCCATAAAATCTAATAGAGTAGACATTGTGATTAAAGACTACAAACAAACAAAAAATGTCTTCTCATAAATTAGGCAGTGATGCCAGAAAAAAATATATCTGTTAAAAATAAATGAAAAATATGAAAACTGTATATTGGGTAGTAATATATTCCTCTATGCCATTTTCCTTGACACGTTTAGTGATCTGGAATCTCTACGAATTAATTTCTTTATTATCAGTGACATGACAGTAATATGCACTATCTAAGATGATGGTGTTTATAAACCAAGATTTTATTCCCATTGCCTTCTTCACTGTTTGAAATTCTATTTTTTCTGGTTGACACTGAAGACCCTAGAATCCATTCTACTTTGTTATTTAACCGATAGGTGGGACAAAATTATTTGGCCCTATGCCATTTGCAATTCCATTTAAATACACCCTAGTCCATCTTGCATTACTTCAAGATTATTTCAATCCATTCATAGATTCCATGCACCGTGAAAACAATAACATATTACAGAAGGATACTCTACTGTGTCATTGGGGCCCAAGTTGCCCAGTATTAGTTTGAGGAGTAACCATTTTTGCCAGGCTTGCATGCAGTAAAGCATATATGCAACCGGTTATCGAGATGTATTTTCACTCATGATCTAGCACTTAAATATATGAGGAGCTCTGTAGAGCTATTGAGAAGGCATGGCTTAGTATCTATCTAGAAGTCTTCTATCTAATCTTGGAATTGATGACACATGTGGAAACTGAAAAAAATAATGAATCATCTGTAATAATTGAAGCCCAGGGTATGATAAAAAAACAGGTAGAGATAGGAACATTAGAAAGATACCTAGCAAGCCCTGCTGACAAAATATTCACTTATTGGCATCTCGGCTTCAGTCACTTTCCTACCACCATAATGTAGCTTTCCTTTGCCTTTCCTTTAAATAATTTCATTCTAATTCTTCTTTTCACTATGGTACATAGACTTTATGAATTTAAGTGCAGTACTTGATTGGTGACAAGGTCTCATCATTTTACAGTTGAAATGGCTAGATGTAACCGTAAGTTCTATGCTAACAGTTTCTTCTCTCACATAAGATTCACTTATTGGCATCTCGGCTTCAGTCACTTTCCTACCACCATAATGTAGCTTTCCTGTGCCTTTCCTTTAAATAATTTCATGCTAATTCTTCTTTTCACTATGGTACATAGACTTTATGAATTTAAGTGCAGTACTAGATTGGTGGCAAGGTCTCATCATTTTACAGTTGAAATGGCTAGATGTAACCGTATGTTCTATGCTAACAGTTTCTTCTCTCACATAAGATTCACTTATTGGCATCTCGGCTTCAGTCACTTTCCTACCACCATAATGTAGCTTTCCATTGCCTTTCCTTTAAATAATTTAATCGTAATTGTTCTGAAGAACTTTTTTACTATGGTCTTTTGACTTTATAAATTTAAGCACATTTCTAGATTGGTGGCAAGATCTCATCATTTTACAATTGAAATTCTTAGATGAAAACCATAATTCTACACTAATAGTTTCTTCTGTGTGTCTTGGCAGACACTATCTTCCCTGGTACTCAAGGTATTGACATAACAATGTTACCATAATACATTCAGGTAATAATAATAATAATAATGATAATAATAATAATAATAATAATAATGACAAATAAGGAATTCTAAAAGTACCAATTTTTGAGTTACCAATGTAAAATTTATTATTGTTTTTACTAATGCTGATTGGTAGAATGTGATACAGCAAATGTAACTATTAATTAATGAGGTAGTTACAACATTTTGCGCATTCTATAATTGGTTAAGAGACAACAGAAGTTATCTCCATTTTATTTTTTATTGTGCCACCAGATTAGAATTGGAAGCAAAAATATGAATGTCTATGAATGAATGAAAATAAGAAAGACAGAGAAGGAAATGCAGGGAAATAATTCATTTAAAACAAAGAAAAATATGAACTGATTAAAATTCAGATGCAAAAGATTTTTATTTTTTAATTATTTCACTACAAGTAAGGCAATAAAGCCACTAAGATACTGCTGAAGAAATACCTCCACCTAACATACACACAACCTTACAGCCTTTTAACTTTCATACTTCCACCCTATACCTTTTTTATAAATACTTTCATGGTAAATGTTTGGATTATCTTTGGATATATTGATAACAAAGTCTCATCAATTTACAGTTGAATTAACTAGATTCTTTAACACCCAGTACCCCCTTGTGTCTTAGTCATTTTAATGTCTTGCTTGGTGTAAATTTGCTTAAAAAAAAACTTTTCATTAAAGTAGTGTAGAAAATTAATATCCTGATTATGTCATTATTTTCACATATTGTTATATGTACTATCCATTTTTTTTGTTGCTCCTGTTGGAAGTCTTTAACTGATTTTGTTATTTGTTAAATATCTTTCTTTCTGATTCCGTAGCACCAGATCTGCTGCTGTATTGTTTTCTTTATGACCTAAATGAATCATTCACTTGAAGTCATTATGAATCATTGATCTGAGAAAAAGTTTGTATACAACCGATAGTTCAGACATTTCTAAACAAGTTGATATCCATATAAAAGTCTAGATCTGACAAGTCAATGAATGTCTAATAGCAACGTATCAAAGAAACGTCTTCACAAGGTTGATGTGATTTAAATTTTTCACTTTAGAAACTGTTCAAAATTGTCAAAATTATTCAAAGAGAATTCATTTCCCTAAATTATAAAATCAATTCTTGAGATTGGAATCTTGCTTATGGCAATTTAATGATTTTCAAAATGTAGTTTTCCATTGTCTTTCTGTTTATTGGTTTACAGTAAATTATGCTTATTTTTCTTGGTGCCAACAAAGAAGTTTCATACATAATTAAATATCTTCACACTGTTTTCATTTTGTAGTACATAAATGAAATCTATTTTCTGTTTACTAAAGCAAAACATGTCTAAATGTCATTTAATAACCCTTCCCTACTTTTTATTTTGAAATTTCTAAATGATAATTGCTTTTGTATGCAATATCAAAGAAATCTTAAATGTAAAATTTCGTTTCTATCACCATCGAATGACTTTAGGCAATGGAAGATACATGATAAGTACTGCTCACTCAAAACGTTTTTGCCAATTAAAAATGTGGATAATACACTCATTATTATGTGGGATATTGTAGCTAAAATAAAATCTTCCAATAGGCAATAGATGTAATTTATGCTTTGTAGTAACACTTAAACTCTAACTTATCAAACAAGAGAAATGAATTGATGGTCACATGTATATCTAAAAATAAATACCTGTTGAGATATGTTGATCAAGATTAATCTCTACTGTAGATTATAACTTTTCCTTTTCTAATTTTCTTCTGCTTACTGATTTTCTGTCAAGCATATATAATTTATTTTTTATAGTTTTAGGTTCATTTATTTTAATACAAATTTAAAAAATTACAATTATTTGTTTATTTTAAATATAAAATAAAAAACCTTTAATCACCGTTTATTTTAAGTATAAAACATAAATCACACCAAGCTGAAATACAAAATATATTTGTATTTAAAATAGGTCTTTAAATACAAAATATATTTTTATTTCTTTTTAGTGTACCCTTGCATGTCTTTTAATCTACCAATTAGTATGTCTACTTGTTGGAATTTTTGGGTACCCTGTAAGTACTAGTGAGCTTGCCAAAATGAGCTGACTCATTTTATAATTCACCAATAGAAAGGTTAACCAATCAGAAAGCTTAAAATATTCAATCTGACGTGTATAAAGGCAGCCATTTTGTTTTTTCTCCCAAAGTATCTTCACTGCCAACCTCTGATATCAAAGACTTAAAGAATTAACAGCCACTACTTTCTCCAAATCTTCACTGCCAACCTCTGATATTGAAGACATTACGGACTTCACTAGATTCTATATTCAGAGATTGCGGCAAACATGGTTAACACTACTTACATTTATATCTTGGTTAGCCTATGAACTTTTCAGCTAACCCTTTTAAATGTTTACGATATCTAAGTCAGTTAAATGAATTAACATGAATTTACATTATTTGTTGTTAACATCACAAAATTTCAGTCATTGTGCCTTCAACTTTCTTTCAATGTCTGCTGATCCAGGTAACTTCCAGCGGATTTCCAAATTTCTAATTTATGGGGACAGATTGTTCTTATTTTGTTGTCCATGTCAAAACAAATCTTTTGTTATTTTTAGAAAGAAAGTAAACAGATTTAGATAGATAGATAGATAGATAGATAGATAGATAGATAGATAGATAGATATGAAAGGATCAAAATATAGAAAAAAATAATGAAGAAGCTTAGAAAGAAAGAAAAGAAGAAAGAAAAAAGAACAAATTTAGATAGATAACTAGACAGACAGACATTCAGATAGAGAAATAGATTTTAATAGATAGATAGATAGATAGATAGATTTGAAGAGATAGATAGATAGATAGATAGATTTGAAGAGATAGATAGATTTGAATAGATAGATAGATTTTAAGAGATAGATAGATAGATAGATAGATAGATAGATAGATAGATAGATAGATTTGAAGAGATACATAGATAGATAGATAGATTTTAATAGAGAGATAGATAGATAGATTTTAAGAGATAGATAGATAGATAGATAGATAGATATGAAAATGCTGAAATAGAAATAAAAAAGGTTAGAAAGAAAGAAAAAAAAAGAAGGAATGAATAGAAATAGATAGATAGATAAGAAAAACTAAAATAGAGAGAAAAAAGATAATCAATAAATTTACAAAGATAAGAAAGAAAGAAAGAAAGAAAATAAACAGATTTAGATAGATAAATGGGCAGATAGACAGATTAACAGGCAGACATATAAATAAATAGGCAGATAAATATATATATTCAGTTCTTGCTAGCCTAGTGGATTAAAGCTCTGGTTTGTGAATTTGGTGGTATACAGAGTGTGGGTTCCATCCCTGGGCTGGGTAGTACAGACTTAACTTTACTAGAAATAGCAATAACTAGCTAAATGACAATAGATTAAGATATCCTTAGGCCAAATGATAATCTACCATCAATAGATTAAATAAAAAGTTCACTTCAAAGTTCCCTGAAAATTACCAGGGTCAACAGACACCTGAAGAAGGTCAGAGAGCCAAATCATTGGGACAATAACAACAAAGACAGGGTCATTAGTTCAACTCTAAATTATGTAGATATTGATAACACTTCATACTAGAAATTCAGAGAGAAAAGTTTCAATGTAGATTCATTTTTCTAGCAATAGAACAGGTTGATTTTGGAACCATGGTATTTGCTCTCAGTTTGAAAGTTGAGGTTTCACATGATAAATAATGTCATAAAATATTTTTTCAAAATCGTTACTGTTTTTTGAGGAAACATGTTTAAAATTAAGTCTAGGTTCAAAATTGGAGCATTGGAATTTCATTCCAGTGATCAGCGATATATTTAATGGTGTCAAAAAATTCCGTACCATTACGGGAAATAAATGTGTAAATTTCATTTACTAAAATGTTTTCCAATTGCAACATTCACCGCATTCTCAATAAATCAAGGAAAAATAAATGAAAGTTATGAATATTATAAAAATATTCACTTTATAATGGCAAAAATGGAGATTAAATACAATATATATTTAGGTTATGGCAAGTGATGAAAATAAATTCTGTTTATTCTCATATACAATTTCAGGTTTATTTTACAGTAAAAAAAAAAAAATTCTCAAAAAGAAAATGCACTATAAAACCTCATAAAAAATAAATTTCTTCATTTTAAAATCAACAGTAGTAAAATAAATATATCTTGTTTATTTATCTTGTCGCAGAAATCTTTCATCATATATTATCTAAGTTCTCATATTGAAGGCAAGAGGGACAGAGAAAGTCAGCAAATAACTTACTTAATGAGCTTGGGTAAATAATTAACAGAACCAGAATTAGGGGAGACAGAAAAAGGACATTGCTAAGATCTAAAATGGACAGGAAGTTACAGAGAACAATGATCACCCACCTTCTGGAAGGACATGGCACGTTTCTGTTTAATGTTCATGTGTGGCATTTCTCTATAACATTTTCATTTGGTGTTTATGTGTAAGGTTTCTCTGTGGCATTTCCATATAATGCTTGTGTGGCATTCCCGTATAACATTATGGTGTGGAGCTTCACTGTGTCATTTACATAACTAATAACCATTCTATAAAGCTGAACATCCAAAACTTAAGTAGATTCAATTTCTGGAAAAAGATACTTGTCTATCTCATAATTTTATGGCATAACGAAAGATAACTCCAGATAACATAATTAAATAATCAATAACTAGAAAACAAGCGATCTGGGTGATTTTGCTAATATTTCAATGTTAATTTATAATATCATCAGAAATCTTGTTTGCCATTGTAGAATTAACTAGTTTTTACATATTTTTATACAACAGGCGTTATTTTATACAACAGACTTTATTATTTGAAAAAGAAAGTAAACATTTTGTTTACTTTACATAATTTTGCATTTTCCAAGTGACAGGTGTTTATTTAAAACATGTTTTTATTTTCATGGAAGAAACTATATTTCCATTTAGGTAAGTAATAATGTTTAAATCTCTTTTTTATTTTAAATTTACCTTTGAGTTTTTTTAAAAATAGGGTAATGTTTGTACTTGTCATTCTCACAAGAAATTAATGTTAAAATTGTGCCTGTTTTTCTTTTTCTTTCTCTTTGTTTAATTTGAACAAATTTTACATCCTGATTTTCAAAATTTAAATTAATTGAAAAATATAAATTTACCTTTGATAATCTTCATTTCTCTGGTAAATAATATTGTGATATTTTATCATATATGCTAGATTTGTTTTGAAACTTGTACACATTTTTAAATTTCAGGTTTCCATTGAGAAAAGGGAATATTTAATAGCTCAGAGAAAGAAAACAGAACCAAAAGGCAGATTCCTGCTTGGAAATATTGACAAAGATGCTGTCAAAAATATCAAAAATGCGTATCTGAAGCATAGAGCTAGAGAACGACAACAGGATTCTGCAAATGTTACTTTTACATCAGATATTTTTCCACCAATGTCTTCCCATGAAGAAACAACTAATGACAGTTTTGAGCCAGAAAGACAGTCTAAGATAACTTACACTGTCTAGATATGTCATCGAACTTATTAAGGGTTATGTATCTTCCAACCTTGGAGAATGGCTTGCTAATGCCTTTATTAGACTGACAAGATATGGGGTTTCTTCATCCAAGCCTTAACTTAAAAGACATTATCTTTGATAAGTCAAAAATAGACAGGGAAACGGTAAAAGTAACCACCAATCAGAAGCACATTCAGAATCATGAAAATATCATCTGCATTGGTTTTAATTGCAGAGTTGATAAAGAGTTGATAAAGACGTTTTGCAACACAAAGAGATTACAAAGGAAAACAGCAAACCAAATTAAGGAAAACCAAAGGGCTAGAGTGACACTTGACTTTCACCAGAGATGGACACTGGAAGTAGATATAGAATTATACTTAACATTGGTGGAACTGGTGTTGTTTTTGCAGAGGATTTTGCTGCTGTTTTAGAAGAATTCAACAATATAAATTCCATTAAGACAATTTCATTAAGACAATTATTGTGGAGAATACCAGTACAAACACTGGCTGCAAAGCAACACTTTTTACAGCTCTGGAGAAAAAACTTAAAAAAAAGTTGCACACCTTTGGCTGTTGCCTTCAATATGCAGCAGGAATTTTTGGAGGGAAAGTGAACCCTAGATTTGCTGCCTGGAACTAACTTTAGCCATCAGGTTAATGTGTTTATGGAACAGACACGCCAGTCCATCAGAACACTATATTAAATTGTACAGCCTTATAAAATTTATAATTGATATATATGCCGTTAGTTGGTTTGAAATTAAAAGGAATGATTAATTACATAACCAACTACTATATATCATCAGCATGATCCAGAGAATAAATCAAGAGTTGACTGAAATGCATTAAAAAGTTTATGGACCAGAAATATTTTTTTCGTTTCAGAAGTAGTGAGCCACTAGAAAAGAGATTAAAATATGACATTCAACTCTGAAGCAACACTCTGGTCAAATTAACGTCTTATAAAATGGAGTTTGCGAACATGTACTTACAAAAAACTTTTCAAGTAATGAACTACAAGTAATGAATAAAACAACATTTGAGTTGCCAAATTTACCTGCACATTTGCAAGGTGTGGAAAGAGCAGTTGAATTAACAACTGAAGCTTCACAAATTGTTTTATAGACAAGAAGCTAGGCACATTATTTGCCATTAAATAAGACTTTCATTTATTTCAAAGGGAAATCATACTGAACAAATTATGATGTAATGTGTTATACAGTGCAATAGTTTTAGTATGATTTTCAATAAACAATTTAAAGTATTTTGTCTTATAATTAGTGCCCAGCAATTTTCAGAATTCCAGGTCCGTTGTTAGTTCTGCGTATTGCTGGTCATTCCCTTTCATCATGGAAGAGTTCTCCAATATACTCACTCCAGAGTCTGTCTATATTTCTGAGACGAGGTATTATGTACAGTATTTACATTAGTTGGACTATTGTCCTCATCTTTGTCGCCATATTTGTCACAACGTTTCGGCCATTGTACGCTCCGACCTTCTTCAGGTGGTTGGAATGTCGACTTGACTTGACTTGAGGACACATGGCACAGTGGATAAAGGTGTTGATTAGATCCAGTGACAGACCCAAAGAATGTGAGTTCAATACTCTTGAGTTCAATACCCGGTTAAGGCAGTGGAGAACTCTCAGAGGGAAAATTAGCAGGAGATAACTGATAACTGACATCCATCAAACATGGCACATGGAACTAGAACAGTCTACCCCAGTGATCGAAATAAAAGGTTCAGTTCGAAACGTTGTGACAAATATGGTGACAAAGATGAGGACAATAGTCTGACTAATGTAAATACTATACTCACTCCAGCGTTGAAGAATTTTTTCCTTCTCCAATATGAGTGTTCCATCATTTGATTTTAGGCAGACTGTTGACAAGCATGTCTTCTGTCCTCTTAGTTTTCTTATTTGTTTGTGCATGTCTCTTTTGGTGGTAGTACTTTTATTTTTTTTTTTTATTAATTATAGTCTAACAAAAGGTGTAGTATCATATTCATTGTTTAGCCTTTTTTGTAATCAATTACAATTTTTACAGTGTTCAACAAATACTGTAAAATATTTTATATTTTGCTTGTGGTGATTCATAATTAGAATTCTAGTTTGAATATATTTTCAATTCAATGTATCTAATATAAAAGATATCAACTTTATTTGGATTTATTCTTGAAATAATAAAATTATGAAGTCACCATGTAAGCAAAAACCTGTGAAAATTTGGTATTTCTGTAAATTTTTTCCAGACAGTATTTATACCTCAATGCTCAAAAATTGGTAAAATCAATGAATCTAATTTTTTGGTGTCAATACTTAACAGATCAATCCCCAGCTCTTGCACTAAGTGCCATGATGATTTTCTGAAAAATGTGAAAAATCAACCTGCCATATAATATAGTAAGTCTATTGGTTAGAAATTTAATCTCACCATGTGAAATATTTGACCAATCAGAGAAAACTAAAAACTTATTTTTTCTAAAACTTGCTTTTGGTAAAAAAATTTTAATTCACAGATTTTGACTTTCTGATATGATTGTTCCAAGCTGTTCAAACCCAAGAGAAGACAGTATTTAGTCACCCCCACGT